GCGACCTCGGCCATCACGCCCGCCCGGTTCCCGCCGAGTCGGGTCCCCGCCTCGGCCGCCGCCGCCCGGGGGCTCCATTCTCCGGGACCCACTCCGTGGTCCTCCCTTCCTCGCCCTGGACCGCGCTGGTCACGGGGCTGAGACCGGCTAGGCCCGGGATGAGTCGGTTATGGCCGAGACTTCCAGGCAGTACAAAGTTTCAGGGATGGGCTCCACGAAGGCCTTTTTGAGTGATGTTTAGTACTTTTAAAAATCCTCCTAGTGACGCACGTCACTGGGTTGAAGAAAGGTAGGGAGCCACAGTTGGTGTCGTGATGTGCTTACGTACTGGCTCTGACTTGTTCAGCGTTAGTCATTGAAGCTCGCTCTCTGTTTATGTATTTTTTCATAGAAATTTGAATAAGTGGCGATTTTACATAAATTACGAGGAAAATTTCTAAGAGGTGATAACGTTATATATAGCTTTAAAGTAAAAGTCATTGCATGTCCTAGATCTAGCAGAGTTGGCCAACGCTTCTGTTATGGGGAGGGCGACTAAGTACTGGAAAACTGGTTTTAACTCTGGAGAAGTGTTAAGCTTAGCAGAAATTTTAGTATCTTACTTGACAGGGACGAATGTCCAGAGTAATGATGTGTAAATCTTTTTTTTTTTTTTTTAGCAAAATATGAAACTGTGATCAAGTTTTAAGTTGAGGTTCCTAGATAGGATATAGAGATCTGTGAACTTGAAATACATCATTTTCACTAAACTTTAAAAACTAGCATTTTCTCCCATTATGAATACAAGTAACATATCACAGTCTTATTTGTTAACTGTAGTTTGTAGAAGTCACAGATATTTGTATATGACAATGCAGTTAAAGATACCTGGAAATATCTGTGCTTTTTTTCTTCATAATTACAGTAATTTTTACATAGCACCAGACTTGTTAATGCAGTAATGAAGCTTGTATACATATGTATCACCGGTTTATTTCTTTTTTTTTTTTTTTTTTTTTTTTTGGGGGTTTTTCTCTATAGGGCGGGCTCGCCAGAGAGACAGAAAGCGAGAAATCATCCCCCGGGGGGATGGTCATGCCGCAATCCTTTCTCCTCCATTCTCCTCTCTGGATCTTGTGCACGCACGCACACTCGCCCGGTGTGAGTTCTAAGCCATCGGTCCCAGAGGCGCGGTTGACTACGTGGGAATCCAGCAACATAGCCTTTATGCTAACTGCTGGTTCCTTCACCGGTTTATTTCTTATACATGTATTTTAAAGCAATTAGTTTCCTCATAAACCCTGTGTGTATTTAGTAACATTCAGAAAATTGCAGAAGGGATGTGTAAGGTACAGAGAAAATTCAGAACTTCTTTTGAAGTTTGGACAGTCCAGGCTTGTCCGACTTCTCATTAAGTTCTATGTGAGTCTCTCAATTTTGGATGTTAAGAAAAGTTGTCTTTATGTAATAAATTATATTTTAACTTTTAGGCAAGTTTGTTATTGACTAGTTAACAGTAGTGTGAGAGTAGTAGATTCACTTTGAAAGAATTTTAGAAAGCAGCTTCTCTGGTGAAATCTTAAACTGGAACTTATGAGAAATTGTACGCCTCATAGAAAATACTGCCCAGAAGGCTTTGAACTTATTGGTAGACAGTTGAACTTTGAGGGGACAGCTTAGATTTGATATACTTTCAAGTAACCCTGGGTGGTGAATATTTAGTGTTTACGTCTGTGCATAGACATTTGAAGCATGAGGTGAACAGGAAGTGTTTGCTATCTTTTGGTTTCAAGGGACAGAAAAGAAAGCAAACCTGTTAGCCTAGAAACAAACAATATGATTAGTCTCACTTTTACTGTGAAAACAGTTCTGTTGTGTGCAAAATTTTAAAAAGTTAGCCATCTTCTTTAGTAGTAGTTCTAGTTATTTAATCCTATCCTTTGAGCAGTCTCACTGGAAACACACATTTTTTTTTTTTTTGGAGAGATTTTCACCGTAGGGCGCGCGCTCGCCAGACAGAGAGAGACATAGAGACAGAAAGCGAGAAATCACCCCCCAGGGGGGATGGTCACGCCACAGTCCCTTCTCCTCCATTCTCCTCTCGGGATCTTGGGCACACACACGCACGCACAAAAGTTAGCCATCTTCTTTAGTAGTAGTTCTAGTTATTTAATCCTATCCTTTGAGCAGTCTCACTGGAAACACACATTTTTTTTTTTTTGGAGAGATTTTCACTGTAGGGCGCGCGCTCGCCAGACAGAGAGAGACATAGAGACAGAAAGCGAGAAATCACCCCCCAGGGGGGATGGTCACGCCACAGTCCCTTCTCCTCCATTCTCCTCTCGGGATCTTGGGCACACACACGCACGCACACGCGCCTGGCGTGAGTTTTAAGCCACCGGGTCCGGGACGCGAACCGCGGTCGACTACGTGGGAGTCCAGCGACATAGCCATTACGCTAACTGCTGGTTCCCTGGAAACACACATTTTAAAACAGGTCATGACAACATTTACAGCTTTCTAATATCTGAATTGTTAAGTATTGTGACAGTGGCTCACTTCCTTTCCAAGGGAGAAAACCTCATACTTCCTGTTCTGAATGATGATTGTTACTGATTATGTAGCTTTAGCCCCTTGTTTTCATGTGGTCGTATCAATTTGTTAAGATTTGGGATCGAGCATCCAAAAGCTATAAAAATTTAGGTAGCACATCTTTTGATTTTAATCATTTAAAGAAGTATTGCTATGATATGGGGGAATCTTTTGTTATCTAAAAATGGCTATCCCATCCTTTTAAATTTGTTTTGAAACTCAGGACAGCATGTTTCAAAACAAACAAACAAAAAGCCTCTAAAATCATCTTGAATGTCAAATAGTATTTTAACTGCATGCTGAACAACAGGGTAATTATTTTTGCATGTGTGAACTGCTATTCTTTACCTATTTCCCAATGTAATTGATGCTCCAAACAAAGGAAAAGTAGATGTTTATTACTCAATTATTTTTAGTAGAACAAATTCATAAAATTAGAAATCTAGACTATAATTAACACCGTTTCAAGTCTTGTGATATAGTATACTGTGAAACTTATACAGCAGTAATAAATTTATAACTTAGGCTCCAAATTTTTCAGAAGGAATAGTTACTAGTAAACTTTTGTCATATTGTTGCATTATGTAAAACCATTGGACCATACTTTCACTTTTTATTTCCTTTTCTTGATTCTCTTTTTCATATATGTGAGATAAACTGTTAGTAAATCTAATCAAATAGCATACAAGTTTATTGCAGATAGTTTGCTACACTGATGCATCAATGACTACTAAAATTCAGGACAAATTACCTATATTGTGTAAACTTCAATAAATTAACATGTAACAAAAGTATAAGTTGAAACTTTTACTCTTCTACTCTACTTGAGTCTTAGAACAGACTAGATTCAAATTGAGGCCCAAGCACGCAGAAAGCTACTAGACTTAAACAAATTCAGTAATGTTACGGGATAAAAGACCAAGGGGCCAGCAAGTGGTGTGGTGGGTAAGGGCACTAAACTCCTATCTGGCCAACTGTGGTTTGAGTCCCGGACCTGGCAGCTTTCTCTCTCTCTTCTCTTTTCCAAAAAAATCAAAATTAAATGAATGGATAGATAAAGTTTAAAAAAACCAACATACAAAAGTGAAGTCTATTTCTATATACAAACAATGAGCAGTATGAAAACAATTCCATTCATAGAATCTTCCAAAGTACTGAAATACTTAGAAATAAATTGAACAGGAACAGCAACAACAACAACAACAAATGCAGTTTGTACACTGAAAACTATTGGATTGCCAGAAAAGTAGTAGCACATTTTTGCATAGAAAAAATACATCATGACTTTTCTGATGACCCAATACAAAGCATTATTGAGAGAAGTTAAAGAAGGACTAAATAAATGGAAAGGTCTCATACACTTCCTGATTTCAAAAGTTACTAGAAAGCTGTAAAAAGACAAGTGTGGTACTGGGCTAAAGATAACACACAAGTAGATCACTGGAATAGAATTGAGAGTCCAAAAATAAATCCTTACATTTATGGTAAGTTGATTTTTGGTGAGGCTCCTCAGACAACAGTAAAAGAAAGTCTAACAAATTTTGTTAGAACAAATGGACGTCCACAAGCAAAAGTATAAAGTTGTACATCTACCTCATACCTTACAAAAATTACTCAAAATGTATCAAAGACTTCAAGGTAAGAACTAGAATAATAAAACTTTTAGAAAGAAACGTAATAGTAGATCTTCGTGACGCTGGATCAGGTAGTAATTTTTTAGGTATAACCAAAAGCGCAGCAGCAAAAGAAAACATAAATTGTACTTGATCAAAATTTAAGACTTGGGACCAGCAGTTAGTGTAATGACTATGTCGTTGGACTCCCACGTAGTCGACCGTGGTTCGATCCCTGGACCCCGTGGCTTAAACTCAAGCTGGGCGCTTGTGCGTGCATACCCAAGATCCCAAGAGGAGAATGGAGGAGAAGGGATTGAGGCATGGCCATCCCTTCTGGGGGGTGATTTCTTGCCTTCTGTCTCTCTGTCTGTCTCTCTCTTTCTGGTGAGCGCATGTGCCCTTTAGCAAAAACCTCTCAAAAAAAAATCTTAAGGCTTATGTAATTTAAAGGAAGTCATCAAGAAACTACAGAGTCCATAGAATGGGAGAATATATTTGCAAACCATATACATCTCTGAAAAGAGATTTTTATCCAGAACATATAATTTTTAAATTTTTTAAAGAATTATTTTATATAATTTTATTATTATTTTAATTTGACTGGAGAGAGAGTTAAAGGGAGGGAGGGAGAGAGAGAGCAGGCTGCCAGGTCTGGGACTCAAACCATGGTCAGCAATGTGGGAGTCCAGTGCCTTAATCACCATACCACCTGCCAGCACCCTGGAACATATAATTTTTAAAGTTTAAATAACAACAACAGCAACAAAAAACATTAAAAAATAGGCAAAGGATTTGACTATTTCTTTAGAGAAGTTATAGCAACAGCGGGGAAGCACATGAAAAGGTGCCTTACATTTTTAGTTATTAGGGAAATGCAAATCTAAACTGCAGTGCAATACTAATTTCTGCCTACTCCTGGGATGGGTAAATAAAAAGACGAATAATAACAAGTGTTGACAAAGATGTGGAGAAATTGGAACTCTTGTATTCTGGGAGTGTAAAATGATCTTCTTGGAAAACAGTTTGGCAAGTTCTCAAGATGTTAAACATGGAGTTTATTGCCAACTCATTGAACTCCTGAGAATATACTGTAGAAAAACAAACACTTGCCCATACACAGATCCATATCGCATGAATGTTCATAACCGCATTAATCATAATAACCAGAAACAAAAAGGGGAAATAAACCATAAGCTCATCAGATGATGAATGAATAAGCAAAATATGGTAGAGGCTTAGGATCCTTTATCTGAAATGCTTGCCACCAGCAGTGTTTTGAAATATTTTTTTCAGATTTTGGAATATTGGCTTATACATACAATGAGATGTATCTTGGGAATGGGACCCAACTAAACATGAAATTTATGTTTTATGTATACTTTATACCTAGTGTGAAGGCAATTTCATGCAGTATTTTTGTTGCAGGACTTTCACTAAAGTCCATCACAGGGGATCAGATGTGGAATTTTCCACCTGTGATTCATGGTGGTGCTCATAAAGTTTCAGACTTTTTTGGATTAGGGAGCTCAACCTATAAATTCTCCTGTGGAATAGTATTCAAACATCAAAAGGTATCAAGTACTGATGTGTACTACAACATGAGTGAGCGTCAAAAACATGCTAAGCAAGAGAAGCCAGACACAAATGGCCTCGTATTGTGTGAGAAGTGTCATTTGTATGAAATGAACAGTCAAATTCAGTAAGAAAGTAAGTTAGTGGTTGCCAGTTGCTTGGGAGGAGAGACTGCTAATGGATTTATAGTATATTTTGGTAGTGATAAAAATTTTTCCGGGCATTAGTGGTGAAGGTTGCAAAGTCTTGTGAGTATAATGGAAAGCACTGAATTGTACACTCCATAAAGGTGAGTTGTATATGTGAGTTATATCTCATTAAAGGCCTTTATTTTTAAAGTAATTTTCTTTTCAGGGCTCTGTTTTACCTTGTTCTATGGCCTGATCAGATGAGAGATGGTAGTTGTTTAGGATTTTTGGCCTTTAAGGTGATGTAGGTTCATATAGAGCTAAGCTGTTCATTTGTAAGCATTGATCAGAAAGATTTCCTTTTTTTCTTCCTATGGGATTATTGAACATATTATGGCCCAAATGAAATCTGAGTAAAGACTGATCTCTATATAGGCTATATTGATTACATCTCTTTTGTTTTGTTTTGTTTTTAAAGAAACTATAGTGACACTGAAACTGAAGGAAAGATTTTTAATTCTTTAGTGCAATATTTTGGTGATAATTTGGGGCGAAAAGTTAAAGCGATGCCATTAGTTGAAGAAACTTCTTTACTTGAAGATTCATCAGTGACTTTGCCTGTGGTAATAATAGGTAAGTTAATTTTGTCTGCTAAAATTAGTTATGACTCTTCATGCAGATAGTGCAAGTTCTTGGGATTGTATTAATTATTCTTAGAGCATTTGGTATGTTAACTAATAAACAGAACTATGGAAAGAGTAATTGGTTTAACTGGTGTGAGAGTCCATGTTTGAACATACTCTTTTCATTGAAAGACTAGCATTACTCTATTCTTAAATATTGCCTTAAGTTGATAACTATAATATATAAGTGTTATATCTATGATATATGACAGTGTTATGGTAATGATAACAAATATTATTAGAGTTCTGCATATTTTATCATATGATATCTTATCATACTATAGCTCTCTGATGTTGGTAGGGACACATATAGACAAAACAGAAACTTCACTCAGAAGTTGAGTATCTTGTGCAGGTTAGAAACTAGTGCTTGATCAGAGATGACATCATGTTCATAACTTTCATTATTACCTTAACCTTAACATTGTATTATATATTCTTTGTGCCACCTCAACAGATAGGCATATGAGATTAATAATTAAACTACTGATAAAACTTAATTTGGAACTATAAAAGGTTTTATATCATTTAGTTTTATTGCATGCATATAATTCATTGTCATGTGTATTTTTCATCTAATATTCAAATTTCAGGAAGTCAGGCAAGTACTGCAGTGTGATTCTAAACCTAAGAGAATTATGAGATATGGGTGCTTTGGTCACATGATTTCTTGGTTTCTTTGATTGCTTGGTTCAAAGTTAGTACGAAGGAGAAAAATTGTGTCCTCTGACTAGCAGATGGCAGACCCTGTAAAGGAAGGAAGATGAAGAGGAGGCCAGTGTTGTTCTTTTATACTGGATTCACCTGTAGGGGCACGATCAAGATGAGTTTTGGCTGTGGTTCCCATCTAAGCTAGATCTCAGGGGCCATGCATCATGTTTCATTTTCTTCTTTATGTCCATCCCTATGTTTTCTGTCCTGGATGTCTTGGAAGAGTAAAGGAGCATTGTCTTTGTCTGACTAAACTATAGGAGAGTAGGAAAATGAGAAGAAGAAGAAAAACAAACAAAAAAAACTACTTTTATCTGCACCTACCATCTCCCCTCTCCCCAAAACAGTCTATGCCTATTTTGCCTGAGCTAGCCCACAAGCAGTTTAACTTGATAAATTGGGTGGTCAGGAAAATCATGACATGTTTTTCTGTTTCTGTGCAAAAACGCATTAGGACTTTTCTGACACCCAGTATGTACATCTGTTATTGTTGACAGTAGCAAACACCTACAAGTGTGGTTGATAGATCATGGTAAGGCTGTATTCAGCTGGATAATTAGAAATAAGCAATTCAGGCTTTTGGAATAGAAGGGTTACTTGATAAGGACTGTTTGTTACCAAAACTCATCTGAATGAAGTAAGTGAATTGATCTGTGTTTGGGGTAAATCTTAGGGAGGGGAGTGAGAGACATTAGTCTTCTAGATGAGAGTATAGGAGTGAGAATAGCAAAGGTAACTGTTAGTGATAGTGGCAAAATAAGTTTATAATCAGAATCTGATTAACTTAGGATATTTCTGGAACAGTAATCCCCTCTTACGGGATACACTCCAAGACCCTCAGTGGATGCATGAAACCAATAGTACCACACCTGATTGTCATCGATTGGAACTTATTTCTATTCCTGTCTTCCACCCACTAATTTAATGCCATTTCCATCTTAACTAAGCATTTATCATGTACCATGGTTGGAACTCTTGCAGTTTGAAATGCAACAGCAAAAACTAGCACAGATTTCTTTCTTCTTCATCACAATTTCACAGATAGAAGATTTATTGTTACCCTAGATCTTAACAGCCTTAACATATTTATTTTTCTTTCCTTATTGAGTTAATAACTTTCACCTTTTCACTTCAGGGAATCATTTTGTACCTTCTCTTTGGCATATCTGAATTGCCGGCGTTGCTACTCTTGTACTTACAGGCTATTAATAAGTAAAATAGGGATTGCGTGATACAAACACTACTATTATGCCAGAACAGTTGATCTGTTCATTGAAATGGCTACTAACTGAATAACAGGTAGATGGCATATTCAGCATGGATATGATGGATAAAATGATGATTCATATCCTGGGCAAGATGCTGTGAGATTTCATCATCCTAGTTAGAATGGCATGCAATTTAAAACTCATAAACTGGGCTGATTCTGTGGCCTAGTGGTAAAGGAACCCAGATCCCACATGGCTTACTGCACAGTTCAAATCCCAGACCTGGACACTTGAGAAATAAGCCCCAAATTCCTACAGGATAGAGAAATGAAGGAGAAGGAATTGTGGCATGACTATCCCCTATCAAAGGGTGCTTTCTTCCTCTCTTCTTTCTGTCTGTCTCTGGCAAATGCACATGTATACTCTCTGACAAAATTCAAAAAATATAAAATTCATGAATGTTTATTTCTAGAATTTTCTTTTTTAATTTCAGACTACAGTTGACCACAGATAACTGAGACCACAGATTGCAAAACTGGATAAGAGGTCACTATTATTACACTGTGCCTTGCAATGGGATGTGTTTTTTTGTTTTTGTTTAAGTTTTTGCCATAGAGAGTATGTACTCACTAGAGAGAGAAAAAGAGATGGAAAATGAGAACTCACCCCTTAGGAGGATGTCCATGCCACAGTTCCTTCTTATGGGCCAGTCAGGTGGAGTGAAGAAGTAGCATGTGGAAATATGGGATATATTCTTGGGAAGAGGAAGGCCTACAGAATTTGAAAAGTCAGTAGTATAGAGAGACAAAAGAGTTGAAACCTTGAGTAGATGAGATTCCCCCCCAAAAAAACAGATCAGAAAGTAGAGGTTAGACTCCTGTGAAACTTCTGGGTTTAAGAGATGAGAAAAGGAAGAACTATTGAGGGAGATGAGCCATCTTCAAAGTGGGAGAAAAGCCAAGGAGCAAGAGTATTAAGATGCAGGGGCCAGCAGGTGGCCTGGTGGTTAAGAATGCTGAATTCCCACATGGCCAACCTCAGTTTGAGTCCTGGACCTGGCGGTTTGCTTATTCTCCCTCTCCCCTCCCTCCCTTGGTCTCTCTCTGGTCAAATTTAAAAATAAATAAACAAAGTTAAATAAATTTTTTAAAAAAGAGTAATAAGATGCATGACATCCCCTTTCCATCTTTTTTTCCTTTTAAATAGGAAATGGACCCTCAGGAATATGCCTTTCTTATATGTTATCAGGCTACAGACCATATTTATCATCAGAAGCAATACACCCAAATACAATCTTACATAGTAAATTAGAAGAAGCAAGACACCTTTCCATTGTTGATCAGGTATTTTTTCTTAAATGTCAATTTTTAACGTCTTTACGCCAAAACATCAGTTTTTATTTAAGCATTCTTACTTGAAATTTTTGGTTCTAAATAATACTTTCTGTCATTTTTATTTTAGACCTTTAAGTTTATTTTGCAGAGTTATTTCTTTTTATTTTCTTGACTTTATTAGAATAGCATTTCCCGATGGGTAGTTTTAATAGGTGTTTCATGCTCAAATAAATTTGTAAAGTGCTTCTGTTTATTACTGGAGTATTATGATACTAGCTTACTAAAGTACTATTCTATTTTTGCAGTATTAATAATCTGGTTAACTTTGTTGAAACCCATCCCTTTACACTATTTATTTGACCAAAGAATCTCTTAAAGTTTCATGGAACATGTGCTAAAGCACACTGCCGGGAAATGCTGGATTACTCTAATAGCTGTTTTGGCTTTTTTCAAACTGTACCTTTTTTTCATTCAGGACTTGGAATACTTGTCAGAAGGCCTTGAGGGCCGTTCATCCAATCCAGTTGCAGTGCTCTTCGACACACTTCTTCACCCAGATGCTGACTTTGGATATGATTATCCATCTGTTTTGCACTGGAAATTAGAACAGCATCATTATATCCCTCACTTAGTTCTTGGTAAAGGTTCACCTGGTGGGGCTTGGCATGTGAGTATATTTTTCTTAGCATCTTAGAGTATGTGAATTACATATTTTCTTGATAAGAGCAACTTGATTCTTAACCAGTACAATAATTCTTTTATATATAATGTTCACTACATTTTTATCCAAGAAGAATTTTAGTGATATTTAATTAGTTAAATATGGGTTAATGACTAATAGTTCATCAAGCCAAATTTGGTTACTGACACAGGCTTGGAATAAGCGTGTCTCTATACTTGTAAGAATTATATTGAGAACACTTCAGGAATGTTTTGCATAGTCAAAAATATTTTTATTCATTGTAGAGTTTGCAAAATGTCACAGGATCTTCAGCCAGTATTCATTATTTCTCTACATTTTCAGAAACTTAAACGAAAAATATATTGTGAAAGAAAGATACTGCATTAGTGTGCTTGGCAGCTAAAATGCAGTACCATTGACTGGGTAGCTTCTACATTTATTTCTCACTTATTTCTGGAGGCTGGAAAGTCCAAGATGAAGGTGTTTGCCAGTTCAGCCTCTGGTAAAGTCCCTCTTCCTGGCTTTTAGAAAACCAGTTGTTTGTTTGTTTGTTTGTTTTTAATTGCCAGAGTGGGCATGCACTTGCAAAGGGTAGGGGAAGCTCAACAAAGCATTCCACTGTGACATGGTCACACTACTATCCATCTTTCTTTTTTCTTTTATTTTTTCATTTTTGGAAGATTTTCTTTTTTTTTAAGCATTATTTTATTTTCTTTATTATTATTATTATTATTATTTTGGAGAGGTTTTTGCTACAAGGTGCGTGCACTCACCAGAAAGACAGAGAGAAAGAAAAGGAGAAATGACCCCCCAGGGGGGATGGCCATGCTGCAATCCCTTCTCTTCCACTCTCCTCTTGAGATCTTGGGCACACATGTACATGTGCCCCGCGTGAGTTTTAAGCCACCGGGTCCAGGACTCGAACTGCGATCGACTATGTGGGAGTCCAGCGACATAGCCATTATGCTAACTGCTGGTCCTCCATCTTTCTAAAATTCTCCATCCCATCAGGATTCTGGCACATCTACACATGTAGCTGGTACACTTTTTAGCCTATGGGCGAAGACTTGAACCCTAGTTGGCCGATATCTGATTCCTTTGTAATCTTAATTTTCTTCATGGTAATGAAAAGCAGCTACCAAATTGTTGGTGCCTTTTAGCTTGTGGTTTTATTTTTATTTATTTTTCTTACCTTTTATTGGTTTAATTGCCAAAGGGCATGTACACTTGTCAGAGAGACAGAGAGGGAGAAATCAACTCCCACTGGGTCATGGTCATGCCTCAGTCCCACCTGTGTTTTCCATCATGTTGGAATTTTTCTCATTCATATACACACATATGTGTTCAAGCCACAAGGACTGGGTTTCAAACTGTGATCAACTCTGTGTGATCTGGCTTGCTTAACCACTTGGCTGTGGTGTTGACCTGATAATACTAAGTTTACATATTCCATGGGAGATAGACAGAGATATAGTACTGTCAGCAGAGTCTTCATGTTGTGATCCACCTTTAGCATTAGCTGGCCTTGGATCATGAGCACACACACACTCCTGGCCTACTCAGTGAGATCCATGTACTCAGATGGAAACTGGCAACCTTCCCACGTGGATCTGCCTCAGAGTGTCTTGTTTTACCACTGCAGCATCACCCGGCCTTCATGATGCAGTTTGTAGTGGGTGGGATTTAGCCTCCCTTCTCTAAATTCCTTAGACTTTTTTTTAGCAGAATTTTTCTTAGAAAAATGTGCAGACAGTAACTGATATCTGCATTACTTCTTCCACTTACCTAGAAAAGGATAAGCCTTAATTTTGAAAGACACATTTCAATCAACAGTAAAGATTGAAATATACTGAAAAATTGCTTTCTTTTTGTTTTTTTCAGGCATGTATTCACTAGAGTAAGGATAGAAATAAATGGTGTTTGAGCTGTGATCCATTTGTCAAGCATCACCTGTTAAAGTTTCTGAATTCCACAGGCATATTTACCTATTCCCACCACTGTATTCCATACCTTAATCTTACGGTGATTGCTTGTAGTGATGTTTTTCTGTTTATGCAGCTCTGTCTGCTGGTATGCTTTTCATACTTTTTAATTAACCTTAGTCTGCCCCTCTCTCACTCTTCTCCACATGGTTCTCTGCTTCTCTTGTAGGTCTGGTTTCTCACCATCTTCCTCCCTTCCAAACTATGCCTTTCGGACCCCATTTAGTGATGAACAAGCTTTCCTACATCCTTAAAAAAGCTACATTTTACTCATATGCTGCTTCTACTTCCTTTCTTAAACGCCTGCTCTTTTCTAGAGATGCCATTCCCATTGCAGCCCTCTGAAGTAGAACCTATCCATTGCTTCAGATACCCATGTCCAGTCAGGTTGGCTAATGAGGTTGTTATATCGTTCACTCCCCACTGCTCATCTGTAAAAACACCTGTCCTTTAAACAGCTCATGCCATTTTCTAGCTCCTCTGCCATTTGAGACTGTCTACATCAAGTACTGAACCTTTAGCACCAAATTATGGTCTTCCACAGGATCCAAAATGTTATTATCACGTTGAATAACGTTACATCTACTTTCCTGCCACAGAAACAACTTAACCTTTTATTCCCTTAATCCTGTTCACAATCATCTTCTCTCTTACTCATTATCTACTGATTCTGTTGCCCCACTATGGATCTTATCTTTCCAACTTGTAAGGACATAAGTTTTCAAATATCTTGTTTCTGATCACAACTTCTATTCTTGTAGCTATATCACCTAGTTCGGCCACTACACTTTATCATTACCTCCTTACCTATTCGGTTTAGGTAAACCTACTTTGTGGGTTTGGCAAAAAATACAATTCATCTAACTGTCTCTTTTATCTCTATGAATCAAACCCCCAAGGAAAACAATTATAAGTAAAAGTCAGTTAGGCCCTGAACGCTGTTTGATAACCTTTGATAATTCCCTAAAACTTTGTCAAACCTCTATGTCTTTTTTCTCTTTAATGCTTAGAAATTCTTTTGGTTCTGGGCCAGCCAGTGGCATGGTGATTAAGGCGACTGGATTCCACATGGCCAACTGTGCATTTAGAGTCCACAACGGGCAGCATGGAAAACATGCTGGGTGTGTGCACATACATCCCCAAAATCTCAAAAGGGGGAATGAAAGAGAAGGAATTGTAGTGTGGCCATCCGCCACAAGGAGGGATCGTTTTTTATTTTCCCTCTCTTTCCAATGAGTGCATGCACACCTTAGCAAATAGAAAAAAAAAAAATGTTTTTGGTTCTTATTGTATAGAGAAAATGTAGTTTGTCAGGACTGAACTTCCATCGTTTTGTACTCACTGTTGTAATGGAAAAGGTATCACTTCTCTTATATAAGGCTCACCTTCCAGTTATGTTCTGAATCCCTGTCTTCTTAAGAGCATTATTTTATTTTATCCCATTTCTTATGTCTTCAATTTCTCTGCCAGCTTCTATTGGTCAGTATGTAAACATCCTAAAGTTATTTCCATATTAAATTATTTTTAAGTATCATCTTATCTATATCCTTTATAACCAACTTTTTTTGATTTTTTTAAGATTTTTCCCAAAGGGCATATGCTTTCACTAGAGAGAGAGAAAGTGAAAAATCACCCCCTATAGAGCTGTGATTTATACACCACAGTCCCTTTTCCTCCATTTTTCTCTTGGGGTTTTGGGTATGCATGCACATGCATCCAGCATGTTTTTCAAGCTGTTGGGTCTGGTACTCAAACTGCAGAATTGGCCATGTGGGATTCAATGTCTTAACCACCATGCCAGTTGCTGGCCCCCAACTTCTTGAAACTGTTAACTGTATGTGTTATTTCCATGCCTTTGCCTCTGCTCCTTAGTGCACTCTAACTTCTGTTGCTGATTTTTCACTGGAAATGTTCTTTCTGAAGGGTAGTAAGTTTGCTGAATTTGATGAAGAATCACAAGATAAATATTTCCAGACTCTACAGCATTTGACAGAGTTAATATCTCCCTTAGGTTCTGTGAACGTTCAGTCTCCTTGCCTTTATTCCTATTTAGTTACTCCTTTCAGTTACCTTTGTGAACTCTTGTTCCTTTTTAGGTTTTTGCCATAGGGCGTATATGCTCACCAGAGACAGAGAGGGGTAAAGTGAGAAATCACCCCACGGTAGTGATAGCCATGTCCAAGTCTTTTCTCCATAATCCCTTCTCCATTCTCCTCCTGGGATTTTTGGGCACTCATGCACCTGTTATGATTTCCAAACCATCAGATCTATGACTCAAATCATGGTGAGCCATGTGGGAATCCAGCACCTTAGTCACCACACCACCTGTTGACCTCTGAACTCTTATTCTTTCCCCTGTTTTCTTTTTTGTTTTGAGAGAGATTTTTGGTATAGGGTGCATGCACTTGCCAGAGAGAACAGTGTGTGCCAGAGAGACAGAAAGCGAGAAATCACCCCCCAGGGGGGATGGCCATGCCACAATCCCTTCTCCTCCATTCTCCTCTCAGGATTTTGGGCATGCACACACACAAACCTGGAATGAGTTTTAAAGATGCCAGGTCTGGGACTCAAACAGTGGTCTACTACATGAGAGTCCAGTGTCATATCCATTATTCCATCTGCTGCTCTTATCTTTAGTACTGTGCTTCTATGAACT